GTGAGCACCGGTGTCTGCGTGGTCATTGGGGAAGTGCCTGCTGGATTACTGCTTTCCTTTGACCCGATGCTTCTGCTCACAGGGCGTACGTGGACAGGAACTATGCTTGGAGGTATGAGACGAGAGTAAAGATAACTATTTCAATCTTGGCAGACTTTTCCTTTCACCATAATCCCCAAACGTTCGTGGAACAATTCTCCTCTGAGGTATATGGAAATCCTCCCTTTGGCAATTCATTTTCCCATGTGAGCACTGTATTCAGCTGCATGCCAAAAGAAAATTTTTCTAATAGCTGCTATTCATTAACCTCAACAAGCATGTTTCAAGCTTGGCCATGCCCCAGAAGGTCTGTTTGACAGATTTTTTTATAAGGAAAAAATCTATGAAACTACAACTGAAAATGAGTGCTGCATTTCCAGAATATGTAAGCACAAACATGCTGATAGTGCCCATAATAGTCATGTACACACCACTGGCTGCAGTGGCTGCAGCCTGAAGGACAAAACTGCCTTCTTGCCCAGTGAGGGGACATTTCTCTCCAGACAAAGACTCTGTTAGTGATTGCTGGATCCTGATCCTCATGGCATTCCCACAAAACACCTCCCAGAAGGCAGCCTGGGCATTAACTCTGCTGGATACTGTAAACCCCAGAACCAGTAGGAAGAAAATTGTGCCATGAAAGCGATTTCCTTCTGCTCCAGTAACACCTTGCCATTGCCCAGGCTGGAAAAATAATGGGCCTCTAGCTTCCCTGCAAGTTTCATCCCACGTCTCCTGCCCCTGCCTACCTATGAACCTCATCCTAATAACTATAACCTGGTAGAGATGCCAGCCACTGACTGGCATCTATATTCTTGCTGTTAGACTTCAGCACCAGCCAACAGAGGTTCCTGTTACTTTACCAGGACAGCATTTCTTTGAGTATTTATTCACCGTGTGCACTTTTTCCCATTTCTAGGTTGGAAGACGAGGGATTCTATTCCCAAATTAGCTACCGGCTATTTAGAAAAGAAATTCAACCTGGACTCGCTGATCACGCACACACTGCCGGTAGCTGAAGTGAACAAGGGATTTGAATTGTTACGTGGGGGAAAAAGGTGAGATTTTGACCGACTGAAATTGGGGGATGACAAATACCACCACCGTTTAAAATTCAAAACAGTCCACACAGGGTGACAGCTCGAATAAGGCAGCAGCATGAAATAATTTCCTACCAAATGCATCAAAACATACTGAAAAAGCAGGGCGCGGCCTCATGTCAGTGTATTGGGAGGATCTGCCATAAGGGACACAGAAGAGCCACTATTCAGTAACAGAAAAATCCTATGTCCTGTTCAACTCAAATGCACCTCTGTGTCCTTGGAGCAAGCCATGAAAACTTTCCATACCAGCACTTGTAACCATGTGCCTCCTTCCCATTTTTCAGCATTCGCACTGTCCTGCTGTTTTGAGAGAGCAAGCTGAGGGTGGCAGCTTGGAGTCCTGGTGCCGGCCCATCTCGCCTGGCTCCTCGTGTCGGGGCGTGCAAGGAGAGCAGAAGCACTCGCTGCCACTGGTACCCCTGCCAGCAGACTGAAATCTGAAGCAACATCTCTCTTGGGAAAACACTTTTAAAAAATAAAGGGTTTTTTTTCAACTCATCCTACTGAGTGCAGTGACTTGATAGAGGCTCCATGGAGCAGGTGGGGCTCTTCCTCATGCCCCAAGACCTTCCCTTGCTCCTTCCCCTGCTAGTTCTTCAGACCTTTTGTTGCCTTACACATTTCTGCACATGCATCTTTACCTTTACCACACCCTCAGCTGGGTTACCACTGCAACCTAGACCAAAATTACCTGTGTAAGGAAGCGTGGTGCACTGCTGCTGCTGTAGCTCTCAGCTATGCAGTGTATTTGCTACCCCTCTTGCTC